GACATGTTCCATGGAACTGACGGACTTGCATTTATTATGACATCTCTTTTGACCACACCCCCTACTCCTCCCCCTTTCCCTCCTAGTATGTTGTGTGTGAGGGTGTGGCTTTCTTCTCCAGGGACAGAGCCAGTCAGACTGGTTGCTGAAAGTGGATTGGCGACGTTACCAGTTGATGAGATTGTGTTGTTGCTTGATGAAGGAGGAGGAGGTGATGGAGATAGCTTAACCAATGATTGTAACCTAATAATTAATAATAATAAAAGTAGTGATATTTGTGCAAATACATGTAGTATTAGAAATATGTAAGAACAGAGTAGAGTACTAAAAGTATGATGCATCACAAAAGAACAATGATCAATATAATTCATTATTGGTAATGTTTTATTTAATTAGATCTATTTAGTGACAGTAGTGTTGTTGAGCCATATCTTAAACCGAAATAGATTCTAAATATTATATATACTGTACCATGTTTCATTTCAGATGATCAAAGTCATCAACTCATATACCCTTGCCCATACGCCTATGCCGGCAAGGGTAATGATTAGGGCTGGGCGATAGTATCAATAGTTGCACTATCATGATAGTGTACAGCTATCATGATAGTGATACTGTTATTCTAACTATCATGATAGTTGTTATGTGTCATGGAGCATGCGCATAAATGACACTTGACAGCTGTAATCATCTTCTAATCAATAGCAACTTCCACTCTTAGAGTGGTATGACTTGCTAGCACAGCTTGCTTCAAGGTTTTCACTGTCCCTGCTACATTAGCAGCATGTGAAGTGGGACAGTGTTTCTTGCTGAAAATTTGGATTAAATAAATTTAAATTAACTAGTATTATTATGCATGTATAATGTGATTATACAAATTAATAGATGCATTAGCTAAGTATAATGACTACATCCTTAAATAAATCATTGTATTTCCACATATAAACACTATGGCTGAACTATCGTGATATGTTCACTATCGTGATATTAGAATTAGAAAATATCGTGACAGTGATATTACTACTATCGCCCAGGCCTAGTAATGATAAAATTTACAAAGCAATGACAAATGTATTAGTGATGATGTTGATATAAAATAAATGAACTTAAAATATTATCTTTTATATGTACTTTTGACTACATCACATACACATTACAATTAAACTGTAAAAATAGCCGTTTTTAAATTCCTTTTAGCATGAACCAAAACAGAAGCCATAAAACAGCTCAAGTGGGTTTTAGTATGTAAATTTTGGTTGATTTTCTATATTGTACCTACAGTTACATGCAATCAAGTCAAAAGGGATTTATCATGTAGTATTAGACTATATAAACTATTCTAATTTAACGAAGAGACGGCTTTGAGTTTGACTATAACTTCCAATCATGAGCAAAGAAGGGGCAGAAGGGGCAACTGGAGGAGAAGAGCAAGTCAAAGACTTGGGAACTGAACACCAGCAGTATAAGAAGAAGCTTGAGGATGCTGTTAAAGAGGTCAAAGAATTAGAAGCTCAACTCAAGCAGTATGAGGAGGATGCTGCCAAACACATCAAAGACATGGAAACTGAGGATAAAAGCATAAAAGAAGAGATACGTCTCAAGTTACAAGAAAGTAATACTAGATGTCAATGTAAAGTGTATATTGATTCTCCACAATAATGTAGGCATTAAAGAAAAGGAAAGGCTCATAAAAAAGCTAATGGAAAATCTTCAAGCAACAGAAAAAGAGTTGAAGGAAATTAAAGAAAGGCATGAAGACTACGTGAGTAAAGGTATAGCTATAATACATACAAATAACATCATATCAAGCTTCATTATAATAGTGATGGATGATAATGCAAAGAAAAATAGGCAGATTGCCCAATCAGTGAAAAAAACCCAAAATCTACAGGAAAGGCTTGATAAGAAAGAAGCAGAGGTGGAGAAAGCCAAAACACATGCGGTGTACATGAGTAAAGGTATAGCTTGAAACATTATAATGGAAGCGCATCTTGCTTTATTATAATAGAGTTGGATGAAAAAGACAGGCAGATTGCCGTGCTAGTGGACAAAATCACTTCATTACAAGAAGAGATAGAACAACAGATACAAGAGGCAAAAGATAAGTTGGAAAAGAAACAACAAAAATACAGGAAAGAAATAGAGAAGACAAACAAAACTTGTGATCAGAGGGTCAAGGAGTTGCAAGTGCAACATGAGAAAGAAGAGCAACTGATAAAGGATACTGTTCAAAAGATGGTTCAAAAGATGGATGAGATGGGTGGGAATATAGCAAAAATTAGTAAAGATGTCGCTGATTTAGAAAAGAAAATAAAACAAGTGCAACATGAGAAAGAAGAGCAACTGATAAAGGATATTATAGCTCAAAAGATGGATGAGATGGCTGTGAATATAGAAAAAATTTATAAAAATTTAGCTGAATTAGTAAAGAAAATAAACCCCAGCCCTCCACCAATAACAGGAGAAGTAGTTATATACAATGAAAAAATAGAGGAGGCAAACAAAACTTCTGATCCGAGGATCAAGGAGTTGCAAGTGCAACATGACACAGAAATGCTTCAAAAGGTGAATGAGATGGCTGTAAAAATAGCACAATTCAATGAAGTTGTAGCTGATTTACTAAAAATAAAACCCAGCCCTCCACCAATAACAGGAAAAGCAGAGGTAGATTCTAATCGTGCTGGATCTTCTCCTTATATTGTTACAGTAGCTACACTATCAAGTAATACAAACTTAATATTTTGTTATTAATTACAACAATTAGGAGATCCAGGACCATTGAGTGACGCTAATGTTGAACCAAGTTATTTTGATCCGCCAATTGAAGCAACAGGTTTTCAATTTAATTTAATAATATAAATAATAATAATAATAATAATTAAAAAAATAGTAAATAAATAAACATGTGTTTTATTTCAGATGTGAGAGAGATGACTAAAGAAACGACAAGTGATGAAGATGACAAAAAGTGATGAAATGAAGAACTACTATATTATCTATCTTTTGTGTGCCTTTGACCTTATACATTCTAAGCTACTGTACATGTAACATGAGTAGTTAGTGTTGCTTTATATGCTATATTTGAGGCTTTTTTAGTTAGTTATAGTTTGGTTTTTTGTGATTTGAAAATTTTTTATTTTTAGTAAGAACTCTTTAATTTAGATCTCTTTGCCTTGCAGATACTCTAGTCTGAATCTTGAAGAATTGTAAATAAACTCAATATTTAGTGACAGTAGTGTTGTTGAGCCATATCTTAAACCAAAATAGATTCTATATATTATACTGTACCATGTTTCATTTCAGATGATCAAAGTATTAGCATGAACCAAAACAGAAGCCACAAAACAGCTCCAGTGGGTTTTAGTATGTAAATTTTGGTTGATTTTCTATATTGTACCTACAGTTACATTCAATCAAGTCAAAAGGAATTTATAGTATTAGACTATATAAACTATTCTAATTTAACGAAGAGACAACTTTGAGTTTGACTATACCTTCCAATCATGAGCAAAGAAGGGCAGAAGGGCGAGTGGAGGAGAAGAGCAAGTCAAAAACTTAGAAACTGAACTCCAGCAGTATAAGAGGAAGCTTAAGGATGCTGTTAAAGATATCAAAGACTTAGAAACTAAACTCAAGCAGTATGCGGAGGATGCTACTAAGCATGCCAAAGATTTAGAAATTAAGGAGCTTGGTGATGACAGAACGAGACACCTACGGTGCATGGCCTCGCCCCTATAGCTGCTATGGTGCATGCCCGCACTTCAATAACTGTTTGATTATCAGCATGAAGAGAGTCTGCTCAACACTAGCTTCCTACAGTTGCACTTGCTCTTGAATACCTGCAGAAGTAGCAGCACTGCAGCACATACATGCAAGCAGCTCCAGCCCCTCCCATGCATGTAG